TGGTAAAACTGGATTTACGGAACAGGCCAACCGTGGCCCGAGGGCCTTGGTCTGCTGACGGGACATTCTCGAAGTTTAAATGTTTTAAACCCTCAAGAAAATGTCAGTGACGGAGTCCTTCACAGCCCCCAGGGCTGAGCTGGAGTGCCCTCAGGCTGGCTTGCTCATGTTTGCTCATGCCCGAACTGCTGAAGTTCCTGCTCTGCTCCTTGGACTCGCTGGCAGCCACTCAATCTGATATCCTGGTGAGGCCACTTCCTGAGAAGGAACGAAGGTGCAGCTGCCCCACTGCCCGGAGCCTCGCTGCGCCTACAGTGTCCCGAGGTGGTGATGCGAGCCAAACAAGCTTATCTGGTTTGATTGCTCAAACATACTTGCCCGTACGATTTAAAACCCCATGTGAAAAGAAGGAAATGAAAAGAAAAAAAGTATTTGACTAGGAGGGTCAAGCGACTGATGCACTTGTCAGAATGCCCATTTTCATAAAGCCTTTTCTCTGTTAAAAAGTAATTAGAGGTCTGTATTTTCTTATAAACAATTTTGTCTTAGAAGCCAGCAATAATTTTACCTAGAAGGTCAAATTTTAAAAATTAAGCCAGTAAGGAAGAATCTGCAGTGTTTTGTGGCTTTTCCAATTTACCAAGAGACTTTTAATGCAGACACACTACTTCCACTGCAGGGAAGCCTGGGGTTTCAGAGTGCGTTCGATTTAGGGGAATCATTTTTTTAGTATGATCAGATGCCTGTAATCAGATGTGAGACAAAACATAGTCTGAAGCCTAAGTCACAGTGAATGCTAATATTTCTGATGCAGTTCACCTCCTCTTCACTTACATCACCCTCTCTGTGCACATATATTACATTTAAGGCGGGGGAAAGAGAACCTTTATACTTTTGACAGCTTAAACTCGGGCTCTGAATTACTGCGCACAGTCATCTTCAGTCTTTGTCCTTTCTCACCCTTAACTGCCCTTTATATTCAGCATGAGTGGTTTCTACAGTCCTGCAAGGCCGTGGTGGGCGCTTTGCAGGGCTGAAGGGTGAGTGTTGGCCCTTCCTTCCTCGTGGTTACCTTCTTACCGGGGCAGCCCTGTGTCCACTGGGAGCCCAGGGCTCTCCTAACCGAGCCCTCTGGGCAGCCACACCCCCCCTGGCCAGCAGCCCACTGGGTCACAGCAAGGGGCTTCCGAGACTGGACGTGTGTTTGCCGCAGCATCTGTGAGTCAGCTGCAGGTGGTGCAGTTAACTGCTGCAAGTACAGAAGCGTCAGTGGGAGGAACGCAGGCGGCTGCTTCTATTCAGTAGAATGGTCGTTGGGAAGAAAACATTCATCACCTTGTCCTTATAAAATACGAAAAGCCTAGATCTGGAAATAATTTGTTACGCATCTTTCCAACCTCTAATCATGGTAATACTCCACATTTGCTGAGCGATTACCGCGTGCCAGATGTGATTCTAAGCACTTCTCATATCATACCCATAGCTCAGCAGAACCTCACAATAAACCTCAGGTGGGGGCAGTGAGGTACAGGTGGGTCCTGTGACTCTGAAGAGGTGGGACCAGGATCTGACACTGGCCACTGGGTTTCAGTATTTGTTCTCTTAACACTGCCCTGAGCTGCCCGGTGCTAGACAGCTCCTGACTCATGGTCGCTCAATAAATTTTTTATTGACTGGCTAAAGGAAGGAGAATATTAAACAGTCATCTATACACTTCCCTTGAAGTGAGACCTGACCGAACTGACTTCATGTTCTGTTTCCAGACTTAAAAGTACACCTGTCCACTAACTTATATATGCTGGGACAACAAAAGATCATTGAAGGATCTCATCTAAAATTATATTGTTAGGGAATTAGGTGTGTGAACAAGACAGCCTTTCAAGGCACTAGATAAAAATAGGTTTTTTGATAAAGGGTACTGAAAGAACTGGCTAGCCATTACCGAAAAGAGAGAGAGAGAGAGAGAAAGCCTTTTTTTTTGTATTTCTTACTTCTTACATTAAAAAGGAATGCTAAGTGGATGAAAGATTTAAATATAGATATGAAGCCATAACTATGTTGAGAGGAGATATGTGTAAATGTATTTTGAAACTCAGAGTAGGAAATGTCTTTCTAATTCTAAATAAAATCCAGAAGCAATAAAAGATTGACAAGATTAGGTTGTTTTATTTATTTGTTTTTTAGAGAGAGGAGAAAGGAGGGAGAGAAACATTGGTGGGCAGGAGAAACATCAGTTGGTTGCCTCTCACGTGCCCCCACTGGGGGACCTGGCCCGAAACCCAGGCATGTGCCCTGACTGGGAATTGAACCAGCAACCTTTCGGTCTGCAGGCTGGCACTCAAACCAATGAACCACACCAGCCATGGGATAGTAGGTTATTTTAAAAACACCACCAAAAACTATGGGCAGAAAATTTCAGAGAAAGTCAAAGAATAAATGAAAATTGAGAAAAAATTATTTAATGAAAGAGCAAAGATTAGTTTATCTTTAGTATACAAAGAGCTTTTACAAATCAGTAAGATGAACACTCCAGTTTAAAAGGGGCAGAAACTATGAAAATGTCTTTCACCAAAATGAACATACAAATGGCCAATGAATGAAAAGATCTTCATTTATGCCTGTAACTGAAAAAATGTATTTTTAAATATCACTACTAATGAGATTGCCAGACATTAAAAAGTTTATGTGTTATTGTGTAAGAAAACAAATAATTCTCATGCAGCTGATGGGAGGGTTAATTATTGGAAATGATTTGGAAGCCAACATGGTAAGATTTATCAAAACTTCATTAGAAATTTAATTTGTGAAAAGAGTTGCAAAACTAGTACAGGTGGTTCCCATATATCCTTTACCCACCTTCCCCTTACATTGATCAAAATTAAAGAAATTAGCCCTGGCTGGTTTGGCTCAGTGGATTGAATGCCAGCCCTGAGAACCACAGGTTTGCTGGTTTGATTCCCAGTCAGGGCACATGCCTGGGTTGCAGGCCAGGTCCCCAGTTGGGGGTGTGGGAGAAGCAACCGGTGGATGTTTCTCTCCCTCTCTTTCACCCTCCTTTCCCCTCTCTCTGAAAAGAAGTAAATAATATCTTTTTTAAAAAGTTAAAGAAATGAACCCTGGCACTCTCTTGCTAACCAAAGCACATAACTTATTTGAGTTTCACCAGTTCCCCCCCCCCCAGGGGTCTTCTGTTCTAGGATCCTGTCTAGGATGCCGTCTCGCGTTGAGTTGTGTCCGTGTAGTTGTTAAGTCTGTGACAGTTCCTCAGTCTTTTCCTTACTTTCATGAACTTGACAGGTTTCAGAGAGTGTCGGTCAGAGGTTTTGTACCACGGCCCTCGATCTGAGTTCCTCACAAGTTTTCTCCTGGTGCCTCCTATCAGGTGGTCGGTGATGTTGACGTCTCTCGTCTCTCCTTACTGCTGATGCTAATCTGGACCACATGGCCTACTCAGGCCGTGTCTGCTAGGGTTCTCCACTGTAAAGGGATTTTTTTCCTTTTGTAATTTGCTTACTATTTTGGAGGTGATAAGAGCCATCAGTGTGAAACACATATATATTTTGGCCCAGCAATTCCACATACTGAAATTTATCCACAGCTGTCAGTGACATTCCATGCTGTGCAGTATGGGCTGGGAATGCGCCCTGGCACTGCTGGAGGCGGCAGCGAGCCCCCGAACTGGAAGCACTTGGTCAGCACCTCATGCTTAGTCGGCTCCTTGCTGGTTTTACCCTCCCTTCCAGGACCCCTGGAGGCCAGATGTGTTTGGAACTCAGAATGTTTTCAGAATTCAGAAGGTAACACAATGCACTTGTTATATATTATGTGCCAACCCTGGGAGGATCTGCAGCAGCACCTCATAGTCAAACAGCAATCTTCCCGCCGCAAAATACGTGAATGTTCACGTGAAGGGCGAAAGGTCAGGACTATTGTTAGTTAGTAGCTTCAGGTGAGTTCTGGGCAGACCTTGATCTGATTGCAGGTCAGGATTTGTTGCCGGCTGTGTGATTAAAAATTCCTTTGTGTGTTCAGAGCATTTTGGATTTCTGAATTGGGGATAAGGGACTGTACCCCTGGATGAGACGTTGCCAACACAGGTACAGATGATGTAGAAGAGCGTTTGTGGCTGCATTGTTGGGAATAAGCCCAGGAAGCCCGCTGGCCCTCCCTCGGAGCTGGCCGAGTACGGCCTGGTGCACAGTGGTGCCCGAGTCAGCCCCTTAAACACAACAGAGCAAACTACAGCGTGCTACCAGGAAAAGGGAGACAAGATGTATTACTAAGGGATTCATGACATGTGCAGAACAGTGCCAGTGGCCTTACTTCCTTGCAAATGCACCAAGAAACATCGAGAAAAGTGGCTGCACATTAGAACAACCTGGGGAGATTAAAACACACCAACACCTGGGCCCTGCCTTAAGTCCGTTTAGAATTGGAAGCGGAGGAGTGGGACCTGCGTCTTGGTGCAGGCGTGCCTCGGAGACACTGTGGGTTCCATCTCAGGCCACCGCAGTAAAGCAAGTCTTCCAAGAAAGCGAGTCACCATCTTTTTGCTGGTGGAGGGCTTTGCTTTCCATTTGTTAAAAATGCAACACCTACGAACCTCAGTAAACCAAAGAGCAACAAAACAGGGTATGCCTGTGCTAAGAAGGACATCTCCCATAGGGTGAGTGAGTCTGTCAGCTTCTCTGTGTTCTCACAAACACTTTCCTTAAAAGGTATGTGCCTGGTGGTCTTTCCTCCCCTTCCACCCCCTTCTCTTTTCACCCCACCCTCCTCCTCCTCCTCCATTGCTGGCCTGACTGGGCATAAAAGTGATTTTTGCCCTCCCTCTGATGAGGTCCTGGCTTATCCCACTCAGCAAAAGCCTATTGGCAAAGTGGACTTTCTTTGTCCTTGGTGACCAGTGCTGGGATCCAGCCAGACCCAGCGTTGACTTGAAGGCCGTGAACCAGATGGATGGCTCCTCTCTTATAAGCTGTATTCCTGTTTCTTTAAAGGAGTGTGGGTTTCTCTGCGTAACTGTGCCGTGTGGCTCGAGTGCTGCGGTTGCACAGGTAAGGGCTCTGAAGGGCGAAAAACGAGGGAGCCAGGGTGACGGCCTCATTTCTGCCTGCAGGCCCTGTCTGTCCCTGACTTGCACAGAACGCATTCCCACTCCCAATGTGTGTGTGTTGGGGGGAGGGTGCTTTCCTGCTTTGCTCAAGAAAGGCTTTAGCCGGGTACCCTTAGTAATTCTGTCTCCGTGTTACAGATGAGGAAACAGATGCAAAAGAGCAATTGTTACTTGCCCATGGTCTGTGAGCCTGCCCTGGGGGGCCAGTCCAGCTGCCCACTGTGGGGGCTGCTTACCTGCCGTCTCTCTCGGCAGCTTCACATTTCAAGGAGGAGACGCCAGTCACGCTTTGGGGCCGGACGCCTTCCCGTTGGTTGGGACAGTGGATGTCGCCTGCTTTGGGCATGGGGCACTGGTACTGAAGCCTGTCTATTCATATTTATTTGGCAGATTCTCAGCCCAGCCTCTGAGATGATGGGACTGGGAAACGGGCGTCGGACCATGAAGTCACCGCCCTTCGTGCTGGCTGCCCTGGTGGCCAGTAACATTGTCTTGGGCTTCAACTACTGGATCGCGAGCTCCCGGAACGTGGACCTCCAGGTGTTTTGTGTGTTTGTTTCGTTTGTATGGCTGTCATAGCAGGGGTGCCAACCTGCAGGCCCTGGGCCACATGTCTGTGAATACTGCCCAACACAAAATCGTACATTTACTTAAAACCTTTTTTTGTTTTGCTCATCCGTTTTTGTTAGTGTTTGTGTTTTTAAAGTGCGGCCCAAGACAGCTCTTCTTCCAGTGTGGCCCAGAGACGCCAAAAGGTTGGACACCCCTGTGGGGTATTGAAACTGCTGGGTCACGGGGTCCCAGGGGTTAGAATTTAGTGCCCCCTGAGGCCTTGCGCTCAGGGGTGTGTGCTCCCCGTAATGCGAACCTGGGGCCCCGTGTGTGCCCGCAGCTTGCCTGGGCCCTGACTGTCCACTCCAGCTCTGCTCCTGGGTGGGGGAGGCCCGCTCGTGAGCTCTTTGGCTTGCTGCCAGGCCATCGCTCTCTGCTTTTCCTGTGAGTTAAGAAGTTTGAGTTGAGCTGTTTGGGCCGATGCTGGGAAGACCACTTGGTGAAGGGCACTGACCACACCTGTTCGCATCCTCCCGTCATACTAGGTACCAGACTCTGCTGATGGAAAGGAGGTTGCAGAATGGGTGTGAGAAATGGTTTTTTAAAGGTGCCAGTCTTTATAATCACTGCTTAATTATTGTAATACTTTAGCTTTCCTCCTCCTGTTGCCTGTCGTGGGTCAGGCAGTGCTTAGCAAGGACAGACACGCTCCTTGACCAAACTTCAATCAGGCTCCTCGGGCCCCCTTTACAAGTGGGCCTCCATGTTGCTCCCACCCTTCCTGTCTGTGGCCTGCCCAGCCCAGGCTCAGCAGAAAATCCTGCTGAGTATTCCCATCTCAGATCAAGCTCCTCATCCCCCACTCTTCAATGAAGCCTTTAGCAAGAATCCCCTTACCCTGGATGTTTTCTTTGAGTACTTTCCACGTGCGGGCGCTCTTTGGCTGTAACGCTTTGTTTGCTGTCTTTGCCGCACTCAGAGTTGAGCACAGTCGCTCTCCCCTCCTGCCGCAGTCATGACCCCTGTTGGAAGAAAGCTTTCTGTACTGTTTTAATAAGCATCAGAATAGTGTTTTCTTTTTTGTTTTTTTTTAGAATAGTTTTTTTCTTTAACAGTATATTGTATAGATCATCATCGTTTGTACACAGCTCTACACGGTTGGGACTTTATTTTCCCCATTTCATAGGTAGGCAGACTGAGGCACAGAGAGGTAAAGTACCGGGCAAGCTGGGATTCCTGCCCGGTCTGTCTGACTTTAGAGTTTGGGGCTCTGGAACGCCAGTGCGCCAGAGCGTCCCATCCTCCTCTCCTGCTCTGCTCCCCCCACCGGTGGGGTAGTGCCTTTGTGGGGGCTTTCGCTGGAGCCCACTTTCTTTGCCGATGCAGGCCTGGTGTCCACGGTTGGGGAACTGAATCTGCTTTTAGAGCTTTTGTCTGGTGAGGGGTGGTTAAGTGCTGCTCCGTCAGTGGGGAAAAGGACTAAATATTTGAGCACCAGCTCACAGCAGGTAAAACGTGAGGCATTTTATGTACTTATTTTATTTAAACCTCACAAACTCCTGGTGTGGGGGTGTTTCCACGGAGACATGCAGTCTAGACATATTTGTTGCTTCCACACGGTTTCTCTAGAAAAACCTGCTGTAGCTTCTATACCGTTGACTTTAAAGACAGAGCCCTGAGAACACGCCGTGTGTGCGTGCGTGCGTGCGTGTGTGTGTGTGTGTGTGTGTGTAAGGCTTGCTGCCGGCTTTGTGCCCTGTGTTCTCTTTGCTCCGATGGTCTGGTCCGCAGGGATGGCTTGACATTTGCCCTTACACCGTGGTGTCCTTGTAGACGCAGATCATGGAGCTGGAAGGCAGGGTCCGCAGGGCGGCCGCCGAGAGAGGCGCCGTGGAGCTGAAGAAGAACGAGTTCCAGGGCGAGCTGGAGAAGCAGCGGGAGCAGCTGGACAAAATCCAGTCCAGCCACAACTTTCAGATGGAGAGCGTCAACAAGTTGCACCAGGATGAAAAGGCAAGGCCTGCTTTGTTGTCTTTTGCCGTCTGTCCCCAATACTGGTTTACACACTGTCCAGTTCTTCTCGATGGGAGGATAAGTGGCCCTGTCTGTATTTACGTAAATGTATGAAGTTAGCCTCTTGATGAAGCTTTGAGTATCTCATCCCATCTGCCCATTAGTCCTTGGGTGGGCTTCTTGTAAAAGCCTTTGCAATGGTGGTGATACATGAGATAAATGCAAAAGAACTATCTTAGCATCAGATTTATCCTCCTGCTGGTTTTTTTTCTTACTGCCTACAAACGTGTTAAGTCCCAGCTCTATACCAGGCCTGTGCTGGATGTTTACGTCTCAAAGGAGAATAACATTTGTGCCTTCGTTATGTCTCCTGCATTGGAAGAGTTGCAGACCTCTGAATAAGAGCTAACAGAGTAGGGGACTCAAGAACGCTGGATTTTAAGTTTAAAAAAGTAATCAGATCCTACGCAGATTAAAAAGGGGTTTCCTGCTAATTAACATGTCTAAGCTTTATCTGTCTTGGTGTTTTCTGTTTTTCTTAGGGATGGTCGACTGTGCTGTGTTGTTTATGAATTTGTATAATGGTGCAAGTACTAATGTCTTCTTTTCTAAAGGGCATCAGATTCATGGCTATTTATTACCTAGAAGGATGTGGCTCTTACTAATGCGTGCACCCCTGTCTCTGAATTATTTGGCTTATTGGAAAGAGGTTGTATCCTGAGATCCATTACCTTGAAGGCGGACTTCATTTTGGTATGACTTGTGGCTAGTCCTTCAGAAAATGAGCCACTTCTAGGCAGGGCCTTGGAGTTTTCTTACCTAACTGGTATAAAAATATGAGAAATACTGTTTTTTTTCATTTGCTGAGTACTTTCCCATATTCATAAATGTATATTTTTTCCCCCTGGGAAATTGTTCCAATTTTAAGGCTATTATAGTACTTCCTGATTTCTCTTTACTTTTCCCCTATGTGGTGACATTGTTTGTGCCTGTGAAATCCTCTTTAACTGAATAGAGTAGGACCGCGACAGTTCGCACAGGTGCACACAGATGGAACCCCTTTAAAGCACATTTTTGGGAGGAAGTAGAGTTTATTCTCAAGGTACGGAGTTTACAGAAATTCCATCTTGGATTTGTAGGATGTACAAGAGAATGTCTCTGGCGCCTTGGTCCTCTGCCTGGTTAGGAAGGAAGAGTGTGACAGGAACTGGGGGACCCTGGGCTGGGGAAGGGGACCCAGGAGAGGCTGGCAGGACCTCCCTGGAGGGCCTGGCTTGAGATGGGCCCTCGTGCGGCTTCATGGCCACTTCAGTGGGAGGCTGGAGAAGCCGGTCTGGGACGCGGCAGGGACGCGCCAGAGCAGGTTCTCAGGTCCGTAAGGGGGAGGAAGAGCAAGGAGGTCTACCGCCTCTCCCTGCCTCTCCAGCCCGTGTGCATGTCCATCATTACCCGAAATTTTAACTTTCTTTTCCTTAGAGGGAATTGTGTTTTACTCTGAGCCTCTGGCCATCCTACATTTTCGTTTTTAGTTTTTTTCTCTTTGAAATAGTAGTGATGGAAGATAGTGTGGGTGTGTGTCTGTTTCTGTGTGGTGTTTGGTTGTTACTTTAAAGTGTCTTCATTGGTTTTTTTTTTTTGAAAGCCATGAGTCTACCAAATGCTCCTGAAATTTTACTAGGACCATGAAGTCTGAAACTCTGGACTGATCTCTGTCCTACTCCAGACTTCCGGTCGTGTTGGTGTGTTGCAGGAACGTGTGGGTGCACGTTTTAGGGGGATGGAGGAAAGAGGCTGTGCAGGGCGGTTTCTGCCCACGGGCACCCGCCTCGACCTGGGTAGGAGCTGGTGGGGCTCCGGTCCCCTGTGAAACACGGATACCTGGGCTTCCCGTGTCATGGGGGCAGAATCCTCAGGACGTGCCGCACAGAACCATTTGTTCTAGAGAATTCCGGTAATGTGGTTGGTGAGGCAGCATCACCACAGGCGAGTCCTAAGATAGAAATGCTGGTTCCTGTGACTGCAGTCTGTTGTGGAGATAAGAGCCAAACTTGGAGTTCTTTAAAACATGACTGCCTGGCTGTTTCTTAAAAGCATCTTCCCATGTAGAACGAAACAAGAGGGAAAACTAATTTTAGCCAGAAACCAGGTGACTATTTGACCTCTGCTCTCAGTGCTTGTTTTATGGGTTTAAAAAAAAACATTTTTTAAACATTTTTTTACTGTTGTTCAAGTACAGTTTTCTGCCTCCCCCCCACCCCTCCCTGTTTTATTTTTATTGTTTGAACAGAGGGGGCATAATGGGGGGTCGGAGCCCTCTCACCCCAACCCCACATTTAGAGCTGCTCGGGGACCCAAGCGGAGGGAGGCTCTTGTAGTCACAATAAACATCTTCTGGTGCATGTGAGCAATCAAAGAGTTCCAGTGAAGGAGGTAAAATTTACATTTGGAAAACAGTCAAAGAGCCATTGAAAAAGAATGTAAGTCCCCTTTACATTGAGAGTTTTTAACTTTTAAGATATGTGATGTAAAGTTCCTTTCATTTTGGGGGTGGGTGTAAGTTCCTTAGTTCCAGGAGGATTTTCCCATTGCCCTGTGGTGGGGGTGCAAGGCACAGGCGGGGCCGCGGGCAGGCAGACGTGTGTCCAGGTCTTACTTCCTCGGCCGTGTGACTTCTGCTCGGCGGCCGTGCGCCCTCCGAGAGCCCCCGCTGGTGCTAGTGTGCGGTGTGCGGCCGTCATTCAGCTCAGCAGGCCGACCTGCCATTTATCCCGGTCTTGGGGTTCGAACTAATTTGTTACGGAAGTTGTTTCAGAGCAGTCGCTCTGCTCTGCTAGTAACAAAACCACAGATTCTTAGAACACACTGGGTCAGATCCTCTGGGCGGTGGGCCTCCGAGAATGTAGGGTTGTTCTATTTTAAAGGTTACACACACACCACCACACACACAAGCACGGGCACCGTGTTCGAAGTTCTCAGATCATCGTGGCGCGGGTAGGTGTGCCATGAAAACTAGGGTGTGAAGGGGGGGGTCTTTAAATGATGAACATATTTGACCACTTCTAGGTTTGGCACATCATTAAAAACGACGCAGAACTTTGGGTTTATTGATGCAGTATCACTTTAGGGGTGTTGAGACAACTACTTCAGAGGCAGAAAATCAGGGGCACCGTTCGTGATAAGAGAATTCTTCATAAATGTTTGTTGAAAGGAATGTTAGTTGATTACCTTGATAGCTAACTGGTGTAGGTGAGTAGCTTTTGGATGCAAAGTTCTTCATTTGATTCGGGAGGACAGGCTACACATACGCGTATTATTTCAGTTATCTCTTGCCGCATAACAAATTACCCCAAAACATAGTGAGTTAAAACCAGGACAGACATCATTTATTTTGCTCATGTGTCTTCTCTGTGGGAGGGCTCAGTGGGGACAACTTGTGTCTCTTCCATACCGTGTCACTGCCTGCGAACCTGGAAGGCGGGGGCAGAATTGCCTGAAGGTTTCCTTCCTCATGTGTCGGTGATCAGTGACCCGAGGCCTCAGTGGGGCTGGAGCTGCAGCACCTACATGTGGCTTTTCCATGGCTGCTTGGCTTCCTTGAAGCGTGGGTGCTGGGTTCCCAGGCTGAGCACCCTGACAGAGAGAGGGAGGGAGCAAGCCAGGAGGAACTGGGTGTATTAAAACAATTAAAATGTATTCTTTCACGATCTGAAGACTTAGAAATCCGAAATCCAAGATGTTGGAAGACAGGAGACTATTGACCAACATGGAGGCATAGGTAGACACACTGTACCTCCTTGCACAACCAAAAGAAGGACAACAATTTAAAAACAAAAAACAACCAGAACTGCCAGAACATCAAACTGTATGGAAGTCTGACAACCAAGGAGTTAAGGAAGAAACATTCATCCAGACCAGTGGGAGGGGCGGAGTCGGGGAGCTGGGCGGAGAGAACTCAGGCGAGGCCACGCTGGAGGACCAGGGCCGGGGAGGTGGCAGCCGGCAGAGCAGGAAGTCCCACATGTGTGTGCGGATAAACCAGGAGGAACAACTGGAGTGAGGCAGACTATGAAACCCAGGATTCCAGTGCAGGGAATAAAGCCTCAAAACCTCCAACTGAAAAAACCCTGTGGGGGTCTCAGTGGTGGGAGAAACTCCCAGCCTCACAGAGAGTTCATTGGAGAGACCCATGGGGTCCTAGAAGATACACAAACCCACCCACCAGGGAATCAGCACCAGAAGGGCCTAATTTGCTTGTGGGAAGCGGAGGAAGTGACTGAAAGCCAGCCGAGAGCCGAGGAAGTGGCACTGTTCCCTCTCAGACCTCTCCGCACATACAGTGCCACAATGCAGTGATGTGGGTTGCCCTGCCCTGGTGAATGTCTAAGGCTCCACCCCTTACTACGTAACAGGTACCACTGACACACACAAAAATATGGCCCAAGTGAAAGAACAGATCAAAGCTCGAAAAATAGCACTAAGTGATGAAGAGATAGCCAACCTGTAGATGCAAAGTTCAAAACACTGGTAATCAGGATGCTCACAGAATTGGTTGAATATGCTCACAAAATAGAGGAAAAAGTGAAGGCTATGCAAAGTGAGATGAAAATATACAGGGAACCAACAGTGACAGGAAGGAAACTGGGGCTCAAATCAACAATTTGTATCAGAAGGAAGAAATAAACATTCAACTAGAATTGAATGGAGAAACAAGAATTCAAAAAAATGAGGAGAGGCTTAGGAGCCTCTAGGACAACTTTAAATGTTCCAGTGTCGGACTCATAGGGCTGCCAAAAGAAGAGGAAGAGGAAGAAATTGAAAACTTATTTGAACAAATAATAAGGAGAACTTTCCCAGTCTGGCAAACAAAATGGACTTCCAGGAAGTCCAGGAAGCTCAGAGTCCCAAAGAAGTTGGACCCAAGAAGGAACACACCAAGGCACATCATAATTACATTAGCCAAGATTAAAGATAATGAGAGAATCTTAAAAGCAGCAAGAGAA